GTTATATGGTTTTATTTCTAATGTTTTAAAGACATTTCTAGACAAAATTCAGATCTGCCTTTGAGTGAGCATATGAAATGGACAATATTTACTATCGATAGGGCCAGTAAAAAATATTTTGATATTTTGTGGGTTAGTCGGTTTTATCACCAGGCCGACGATATATATATATAGCCTATGTCCATTCTGTTACATGTGGGTGTATACAAATCTGTGTTTTGCAAAGAGACAAATTAGAAAATGTGACAAAGAAAGTTTTATATTTTTTACTAAGCACTCTTTTGAATACGGTATATATATTAATAGGTACCAGAAACTAAATTTTCAAAGTAGTTGTATGCCAAATTTATCAGTTCCATTTGAAAGGCCTATATCCACTGAGCATTTTGGTACCATTCTTTAACCTCTCAGTCAATTTTTAAGAAAATGGTAGTTGTTTAAAATTTGATCAAATTTGTTAAAGTCAGTCACTGGCTGCAACCCCATGTTTGACAGACAATAAAAGAGTACCAAGAGCACTAAACATCTCCACATTAACAGAGTACAATCACTATAACAAATATATGGAGCCTAATTTTTTTCAAGACTGTGATTTCATTACAAATCAGTACTTTATCGCCTCAAACACGATGATCTGTCGTTATTTCGACAAAAACACCGAGCGCTGACCCGGCCGGCGCAGCACCGAGCCCCGCGGCGAGCGAGTCGGCTCTATACTGTAGTGTACCCCACGTGCGGGGTCACATGCTTTCTGAGTCTCGCGAAAGGATTGATGAAAAATAATTCCAAGCTGATTACTTAATTCTAATAGGAAATAAGCTGATCTTTTATTAAATATATATTTTTAAGCCGGTATTTTACATATTATGGGTAAAAAGTGATCTTTAAACATTTTGACAGTATTTTTAAAAGCTTTCTATTTAGACGCCAAAGGCAAAACACATACCACGGGAAAGCCCGTTTAAAGCTCTACAGTTCTCCGCCAATGAAAAGACGGTATTTAATCATTCCTCGTTCCGCGAAGCATTTGAATGCACCCGTGTCAATTTTTCAACCGGCCGACCACGCATTCCGACCGCGAGGGGCTTCGTTTTCGTCGGCGATTCTCCAGCTCCTACTAATCGGACATAAAAACAACTTACATCATTGTAACGAGGAAAAGCTGAACTTTTACAAGGTGTACGGCACTTGGTGTTTTATAGCGAAAGAGCAAAGAAACAGCGATCGGAATTACCCCGATTTCACCGATACCACGCGGTCGGAAGGCCGCGAGGCCGTGTTTACGCTACCTAATATTAATATATATATATCCCCATAATTAATTAACCAAATAGCTCAGAGAGTGGGGAAAATAAAAGATTAATAATAATAATAAATAATATCAAGCTCAGTTTCTTTTTTTTTTAACTTATATAAATGCAAATAACTCAAATTGATTATGCATTATATATATATATATATATAAAACTAATCTGTTATTTTAGCCTAGCGAAGATTTGTTCCCACCCCACCCCCCCACCCCTTCCACACCACGAAAATATGCCTCAGAACTACAATATATTGCATTCATTCCTATTTGATGTGTGTATATCTGTAATAATAACATCTGCTTTTCTCATTATTATGAGTAAGTAGGCCTACACATAATAAAATATGCATAAATCCACGGAAATATACCTGAGTAATCTTCATTCTGCTTAGACTGCCAAAAACATTGTAAATACTGGAAGAATATAAAATATGCTGTTATCTTGAAAAGTCCATATCACTAAATTCGCGTAAACCCGAAATTAAGCCCAAATATTTGTGACAGCAAAGAAACCTTCATTACGCCCGTGTCTATGAGTACTGTGTTTTCCGCGGTATTCAGACCGATCAAAATAACTGTTCAATCAGTGACTACGCTTTAACGCAGCCGTGACATCACAGCGAGATGATGGCAACCTTACACGTCTCGCGGCTTTCGAGCAAAAAACAGGAATGACATTGAAGTTATTTTTTTCAAAATGTGATTGTTTTACTGGGATAATTTCACGAAATAGTTTATAAAATTATAAGTTCAACTTATCTGAGATAATGCAGGAGGAGCATTCTGTGGATTAATTGACCACACATTTTTTTAAACAATCTCCTCAAAGAAAGCACCTTGTAACTTTCTTGTTTTTAGCTCGATTAAGACACGGAAATCCGCGGAGGCTAGGTCCATCTTTCTTCTCATTGGTAACCGAGTTTGGGGATATTTGGTTAATATTTAGATGGATTCTGCTCCTTCCGAATATGGAGAGTCTGGAAATCACGGAGCCATTCAGCAGTTTTCGGTCTCTCTACCGACCAATCCTCTTTGGAAGAGGCTAGCCGTACTTAATGACGGCTAGACTGGCAGTCTAGCCGTACTTAATGACGGCTAGACTCACAGTCTAGCCGTACTTATTCTTAATATGATGGCTAGACTGACCATTTACAAAAAATAGGCCTACTGAATTGTAAATATACATTTTTAGTGTGCAGTACCTAAAGTATTTGTATTTGAGACAAAACCAGGTTCCTTAATGACAGTGCATGTATTTTAAACCTCCTGTTTTCTAATGTAAATAGGGCCTAAGATAAGTACGGCTAGACTGGCAGTCTAGCCGTACTTAAGTACGGGTAGACAGCCAGGCTAGCCGTACTTAAGGACGGCTAGACTGTCAGTCTAGCCGTACTTAATATTGATGGCTGAATTGTAAATGAAAATTTTAGTTTGCAATGCCTAAAGTATTTGTATTTCAGACAAAACCAAAAGGTGCCTTACTGACTTGCATGTATTTAAACCTGAATAATTACTAGATCTAGATCTAATGAGACCTGTGTACTTAACAGGCTTGAGTCGATTGGGCCAAACCTAGATCTAAGTACGGCTAGACTCTCAGTCTAGGCTAGCCACTTCGATCCTCTTTCTTCGATAACATCTCGATCAATAAAGTGAGCCATTATCAAGGCCGTTTGCAAACTTAATTGAAAGATAAATCTAGGAAGGATTTCCGTAACGAGCAACCACCCCAACAAACACATTTAAGAAGAGACCTAACCCAAACCCTCCCTAGCCCTACCTCTACTCCTCTATTCTACTCTGTTTTTCATCTCCTCCTCTCCTCATTCTTTTTCATTTCTCCTCCTCCATCTACATCTCCTCCTAGGACTCAATTCTCCTTCTTCATCACCTCCATTTCTCCTCCTCCATCTACAACTCCTCCTCCTCAATTCTCCTTCTTCTTCCATGAGAGCAAGCACTCAACCCGCTGTGAGAAGATGATCAAAGGCACGAGACCGAAACCGGGAATTCCCAGAGTACCCACAGGTGCAGCCAATCGTAGCCGGGTATGCGCCCTGTGTGTGTAGTCACATGTGTTACGGAAGAGTCGTACGCATAGCCACGAGTCTCTAAGCATACGGGAGGGACGACCGTGCAATAGCAATGAGGCTCTCTATGCGTACGGGAGGGCCGTGCATAGCCAGTCACAGAGGCACAGGATTTCTAGAAAATTTAGATTCTAGATCTACCCTAGATCTATATAAAGATCTCTATTATTTCACATCTCTTCAACATCTAGATCTAGACTCTTGATCTAGAATCTAGATCTAGACACAACTTCTATTAGATCTAGATCTAGATCTAGATCTAGATCTAGATCTAGATATCTAAATCTAGGGATCTAAGACCTAAGATCTAGAATCTAGATATCTAGATCTAGATAGTTCACTCACAAGATTTTGAGCTGATGTTCCTCATGTTGTCACTTGTTGTTGTGACTTTTAAAAAGTTATGACGAGTCACGATCTACCTTCAAATCATGAGACAGTTCGATTCAAGAGTAGACTAGAAGAGGATCATGATCATCTAGAGAATCAAGAGACAAGGTCACAAAAAATGTTGGCCACAAGTGACAATGAGCAAAATTTGGCCGATTCTGTTGGATTTCAGGAAGTCTAGAGTAGGCCTGGGGTCCATTGCACAGACGTTCCTCCAAGTCACAGAAAGTGCAAGTCGTTCAGTCAACTTTTGACTGCTGACGCTAGTTGACGGTTGAAATGACAATGAATGAAAACCTTGGTCCAACAATCAACAATGTAGCCTAGCCCAGGGCCTACCTACCTACTACCAGAGACACTAAAATATAGAGACAGGAAACGAGGCCTCTTTTCGCGTATCCAGGTCACCAGCTGATTGTGAAACGAGGCGCGGTAAACAAAGCTAATGGCGGCT